CACACACACACACACATACACAGACACACAGACACACAGACACAGACACACAGACACACACAGACACACATGTACCTCCAAGAAGCAATAGGGGAGAAGAAGCTGCCCACAGCAAGGCCAAGGGCACCGCCCATGGCAAAGCCGCCCTGGATCTTCTCAAAGCACGAGCTCATCTTCGACAGTGTGCAAGTGAGCGAGCAAGCAAGCAAGCAAGTCTCGTGGTCGTGTGGATGTTGTGTGTTTGTGGAACAGAAAAAAAGGCACACGCAACCGCAACGTGCAGCAATTCCACCACGACACCAGACAGCGAACAACGAAGTGCTGGCTTGACTTGCTTGTTTGCTTGGTTGTGGTTGTGCTTGCCCCCCTGTTCCATCTCTCTCAGGTGCATGCCCACTCACATGCACCCAGTCTCACCCACTCACTCACCCACCCTCGTTCACAGGATGGCTCGAGGTGGCAAGTCTGCTGCGGCGGTGGTTGGCGTCGTGGCCCTGACCATGGCTGCACTCTACCCAATTGTGTTTGCCCCTCTCATGGACGCCTCGGAATACCGTGAGTACCGCCTGCTGTTTGAGGTGGCTCCTGTGGCCACAATCCACCGCATGCAAATGCCACACCCTCGTGCCCACCGCAACGTGCCCTCTCCACAGTGCAAGCTGTCTCTCTCGCACACACACACACACACACACACACACACACCACACACACACACACTCTCTCTGTCTCTGTCTCTGTCTCTCTTTCTCTGTCTCTCTCACACACACATTCCGCATGTAAGGTGGTCGGCAACAGGAATTCTTGCGCGAGCAGGGCCTCTCCAAGAAGGACATTCAACCTGAAGGTACTAACGTCACGTGTCTGCTTGCTCCTGCCGTTGTTGCTGCTGGTTCAGAGTGCACCTCAATCCATCCATTCGCACACCCCTCCTGCTTCCTCATCTCCCACCCCATCTCCCTTGTCGTGTTGGTGACACCAGGATTGCCGGTATGGTCGGATCCATTTGATCAAAAGAAGAGCAAGTAAACAGCACAAACCACACAACTTCTTGGATGCAATGAGCCACCAGCCACAAGGGGGGGGGGGACCACAGGAGCTCACGCTACAAGAACACAGGCACAAGACACAACAGACAGAGACCACAATGCACTACAAACACAACAGCTGACAGCAAATTGAGGGTGGGAACTTGACAACATGCCACAACACAAAAGCAAAGATAAGGGCAAGTGCTACTGTGGACGAAAAAAAGTTGGTTGGTGGGGGCGCGGAGCAAGGCAACGTACGTAGATCAGCAGAGAGTCAAATCAAACAGCGAGGCCATCGCGGTTGTCCGATGAAGCGCCTCGCAGTGGCGGTGGCGACAGACAAAATGACCAGAGTAGCAAAGGCACCAAACAGACAGGCACAGTAATCAAGCGCAGCAGCATGGACACACCACATCACTGCAATCGCTGCGCCTGCGCCACCGCCGTAACCTTGTCACTGCTCAGTCGCGGCGGTCGTCGTCGCGCGGGGGCGGCGTGGGGGACCGGCGGCGGTCTGGCGAGGGGCTGCGGCGTGCCTCATCGCGGCGAGGCGAACGGGAACGCGAGCGGGAGCGGGAACGGTCCCGACGTGGCGAGCGGGAACGGGAACGGGAACGGGAACGGCGGGCGGGCTCGTCCCTGCGCGGGCGACGCTCCTCAAAGTCGCGGTCGACATCTGGCGGGGTGCGGCGACGGTCGTCATGGCGATCACGGCGACGGTCGTCGTGCCGGTCGCGGCGGTCATCATAGCGATCCCGCCGGTCATCGTGCCGGTCGCGGCGGTCATCGTAGCGGTCACGGCGGCTGTAGAAGTCGTCGTAGTCATCGTAGCGGCGCCCGTACCGGCTGCAACCCGCAACGCAACACAGCAGACACACAGACACACAGACACACGCGCGCACGCACAGAGACAGATAGATTGACAGACAGAAAGACACACACACACACACATACAGACAGACAAACAAACAGACACATATACACAGACACAGATACACACACACACACACAAGACCATGCAATTGTGGAAACATGGTGAGTCGAGGCGTGCAGAGCGGGTAGCAGGGAAAGGGAAGGTGCACAAAGGGGTGGCAGTGACCCTCTCATCAGTGTGGGGTGAGCTCGAACCGGGAGAGAAAAGGTGAGTTGGCGGTTCAGAGCAGCGGAGATGAAGGGCCCCCGCGTGTGAAGCAGCCAGCCAGCCACCAAAAACAGCCGCAGCCGCAGCAGTAGCAACGGCGGTCGCATGTGGAGGAGGCGGTGGTACAAGTTTGATGAGCACCAGCAGGCAATGGCGATGGCGATGCAGCTGCGGACGCGAGAGATGAGACGAGAGAGCAGAGAAGGGAACAAAGAGTGGAGTGGAGTGGAGCGCAAAGGGCCAAGTGGGGCTCATGTGATTGCCAAAGTGCAAAGCACAAGGCTGAGCTCACTGTGAGCCCTCATGCACATCAAGGAGTGAAACGAAGAAAGGGGAGAGTCGAGTGAAGAGAGGGGGGAACAGGCGGCGGGCCGACGGACGAGACGGACGACGCAAGCGGAAGTAGCGATGGTGTGACGTGACGTGACGTGTGACGCGGCGCGGTGACCGAGGAAGGAAGGAGAATGAAGGGAAGCGAGGAAGAGTGTGGCGAGGGGACAAGACACGGAAGGAGAAGAGGAACGGGGAAATGACGGCGATGACGACGCGGTGGCGTGCATGCGTTTGCCCAAGGAAGCGACGGTTGCGAGGGAGCAGCGGTGATGGAGGTGGGGTTGGTGGATGGGGCGAGAAAGGAGGACGCGCGTGTGCGGAGGCGATGATGCCCAGGGGAGCGGGGAGAAGAAACGGAGCGCCGCACGGAAGCGAAGGGGGGTTGTCAAGGGTGGGCCATAGAAGGAAGGAAAGCGGCGCGCACAAGCAGGAAGAAGAGGGGTTGGAGTAACGCAGGCAGATGGACACAGCGCAATCAGGTGAGGTGTGGCACGGTGGTGGTTCATGGCGGTTGTTGAGGACCACAGAACGACAGGCGTGCGTGTGC